AATGGTAAAGAATTTCTTGACTTCGACAAAGAATCTTACTTTTCATCTACTTTCCTCACTAGCACCATCTGTAACATTTTAAAAATTTATTTCCAGCATAAAATTAGGACTCTTTCTTACTCAGATATAAGCCATCTATTTTAGTCAAAATAAGTTTTACCACGAACACTTAAACTCTATTCAAAAATTAGGGTCTCTTGGATTTCATTAAGAAACAAAAACCAGAATAAAACTAGGGCCACAGAAAAACACATAAAAACTGTGAGAGAAAGGGGAAGAGGTGCAAAATCCAAGAGGCAGGCTCCATTTTTCGTAAAAGCAGAATTACTTCTAGGAACATTATTGATAACATTTCCAAGCACAACCATGAAAATCTCCCTGGCTGATTGTTATTCTCCTCTTTGCCTGCCTGGCTGGGCTATTCTGTCCATATTCCCTTTCCAGAACAATCCCCAGAGATGCATTTGGCTTTAAAAGACAGTGACTGATCTGCTCCCTCTATGGCCGTGTTCCTTGTGACAAGGGAGATCTGTGTACAAAATAGGAAAGGAGGGGGAGGGAGCTATAGTTCCTTCCTGCAACTATCAAAACAGAGCAACGATTTTGAGAGGAGAAGCAGATCCAAACACACCAGCCCTTGTGCCTCAATGAACAGGCCGATTTTCAATCCACAGGCACACATCCTTCGCGGGACAGCTGCTTTCTCTGGGAAAAGGGCAGAGGGCATTAGAGGGCTCAGTTCCTCAAGGCTTGGGGGGGGGGGGCAGAATGATTTGCCTTTCTAAACATGTAATCAATCCTCTTCTTAAGAGACGAGGTGGGTGGGAGGCTTTAAATTCTGTTTGAAGACGTACAGCTGCTTTTTATTTCTTGTTTTAGGAGGGAGCCCAAGGAAGAGGCTCGGCAATTTAGAGATTAAACCAGAAAATAAATGCAGTTCAGCCCGCCTTGCTGGCAGAGGGCTGCTTCCCTCCACAGGCAGAGCGACGCTGGCTGAGAGATGATGAAATATTAAATGGAGATTAGCAGAACCAAGGCATTTTCACCGCACCAACCCTGGCAAATGCAACCCCTCCCCCCCCCCCGCGGTGTCGGACCCTCTTCTTCGGCTGGGGCTCCCAGGGGCCTCGCCTGCCTTTCACCGGCGCCACCCACCTTGGCTCGGGGCGCCGAGCCCGTCTTTTCTGCAGCCGGCTGGAGGTTGCTCTCGCCCCGCTCCCGGCTCGACGGCTCCTCCGCGGTCCTACTGGCCCCCGTCCCCCCCCCTGGCCCGGGCCGCCCCCCCCCCCCCCCCCCCCCGCTCCCGAGGCAGTTCCTCCAGGCACCCCCACCGCCCTCCTCGTCGCCAGGCTGGAGAGCCCCGCAGCTGCTCTTTACGACTCCCCCCGGCAGGGCAGGCGGGGGCGCCCCTCCCATCCCGGGGGAGGCTTCCCAGACACCGACCGCGGCCCTGCGCTGGCATCCGCCGCCGGCCGGCCCTCCCAGTGCTGGGGGGAGCCGGGCCCGCAGAGGTGACCTCGAGCTCGCCCTCGGCATCCCGCACCGCCCCAGCGCAGGGAGCTCCCCCCGCCGCCGCCCCCGAACCCCTCCCCGTCGGGACGGGAGCCGCTGTCACTCGGCCGCGCGACCCTCCCCCGCCTCGGAGGCCGCCCCGCCGGAGGAGCCGCTTAGCCTCGATTCGGGGCCTCCCACGCCGCCTCCCCGAGACCACGTGCTCCTGCCCCCCGCGCCCCCCCCCGCGCCGCCCGGACTCGCCGCCGGTGGGGGAGGGGAGGCCTCGGCGCTGTTCTTACCTGGCGCGGCGGCGGCGGCGACTGCCTCTTGTCCGTGGCGGCGGGAGGCCCGACGGCGAGCGCGCGAGGCCTGCTCGCAGCTTCTCTGCCTGCGCCCGGCCCGGCCGCCTGCCTGAGGGAGCAGCAGCGGCGGCGGGCGGGCGGGCGGAGCGGCGCGGCAGCGGCGGGCCTCAGTAGTGCCGGCGTCGCCGCCTCCGGCCCACCCGCTCCATGACTCGTCCGCCTCACCGGCGGCTCTCGGTGCCTCCCCGGCCGCCGCTGGCTCGCTGGCTCTCCCGCTCGGAAGCCCTCCTGCCCAGCCCGCTCGGCCGCCCGACAGCGCCGTTTCCTTCCTCACGGCACCGCCGCTCCGTCCGCCGCCAGAGCTGGCCCTCCCCATTGGCCCGATGAGACGGGCCTCCCCATTGGCTGGCGACGGAGCGAGGCAGCGAGGCGGAGCCCAGACGCTAACTGGAGCGCGCGTGACGTGTCCCAGACCCTCGAGCCTCTTCCCGGCGGGCGCGTACCCGCGCGCGTACGTGAGTGCGTGCGGAGGAGGGGCTTTCCCTTGCAGCCAAGCGGAGGGGGAGGGGAGAGAACGAGAGAGAGGTACCCTGGGATTGGTGAAAATCCGGCGGATTAGCCAGTCTCCTCCGAGGTCACGTGAGGGGCGCCGCGCTGCCCCGTGCGGCTGTTGCCAGGGTAACCGAGAGGGGGTTGGTCGCCGCAAAGGGGCCGCATCGCCCCGCACCGGGACGGCCCCGCCCGGCCGAGCACGGAAGACGCCAGCTGGAAATGCGGCCGCTGCCGGCGGGATGGCTGGCTCCGCGCTGCCTTGTTCCCTGCTTGCCAGCCAGCCGCCTGCCTGCGCCCGGGGCTTTGGCCACGAGCCCTCCCGGGCAGGGAGACGTTTCCCCCGCGCTCCGCGAAAGCAGCAGCTGCACCTTGCCCGAAACGCCGGGGGAGCCTGCTGTGGCAGCCCCCTGGGGCATGGGCCGAGCCGCCAAGCAGGAGCGCGGGCGTCGAGGGCTTTTCTGGATAGCTGGGGAAGAGCCGGCGCTGGACGATTGGCATCTGATGCAGCCCACTCCCAGGCATCCTTTATACCCCGCCTGTTTTTTTTCCAAAACTAACTCAAAGTGGTAAACATATGACTCCTCCTTCTCTTTTCCCACGACAACCCTGTGAGGGGGGTTAGTCTGAGAGCTGTCTGGTGCCTAAGGTCAGACTGCGACTCTGCACCCCCCCCCCTTTAACTGGGTGCCTTCATCATTAGACCAAACTGGCTCTATTCATACCCCAATATTACACTCCCAGGAGGCTTTGAGTCACTTAATATATATTTCTATGGGTTGGAAATTCCAGGGCTGCCTTCTCTTGTTCTGTTCCTCCCTGTGAGGAGAAGAAACTCAGAAGACAAAAAGATTGTCCAATTGTGGAGAACATAGTGGTTGCCCCAGAAGTGGAACTCTTCCTATTCCATGCCCAATCTAGTTTTTAAAAAAGATTATTTGAATTAAACAAATAAGTCTTAGGTGACCTAGAGTATGTAGAGTTCATTTATTCATGTTGCATGAGCCAGCACCATTATTTTTATTACCATTCTCCAGAAACTTGAAAAAAATCCTACCAAAATCCCCCACTGATATCATAGCTGGAACATGGCTTTATGTCTGAACGTTGGATGTATTCCCAAAGGAAGCTTTATTAAGCACTCAAAGGACACTGCATGAAATCACCTTTTCTCAAGGTTACATTTCAAACGTTCAAAGAGTAGAAGATAATGCATACTATTATATATTAACTCTGAATGGCTGCAATTAAACTAGTTTCAGAGCCAGAATGGAGCTACCTATAATTCTAATAATCTATTATAAGTATCCTCTACAATGTTAAAAAGTATTATGAGAGAACCAACCTGATTTTCCTTTGCACCAGATATTGTGAGCCCTTTTTATAATTTTACATGCTTCAACCTTCCAGCACATGAAGCTCCAATCAAGGCAGCCATTTGCAGTATTTCAGTCACAATATTTCATAAGAAGCCAATGCCTATCTTAATGCAAGTGACAGGTTTTTTTTTCCCTCTTGGCCCACTTCCTCCACAATTACTTTCAAAATGTCAACTCTGTCAATTAAACAATCTAGTTGAATTTTATGTGCATTACATCAAATGTTTCTCAGTTAAAAAACAGTTATCTAAACAGGTATGTAGGTTATGCAGCAGACTCTTCGTTTAATCAAAAGTTTACTTGTGTCCCAGAGGGAACCAGTTAACATCCTGGGTGTGTCTGTCACAAATTTGATGGCTGAGATTACAACCGTAAGAAAGTTTTGCAAGTCTGTTGTTTGGAAGTTGTTGGAGAATGAAACCATTTATTTAGGGAAGAGCAGTGATGTTTCTATTCAGTGAAATTGTGAAAGCCTTTCCAGCATTGCAAATCTGATCTTCAAACAAAATGTTACAGCTTTAACATTTCTGCCTAAACTAACTTTATTTTCTAGTCACACTGCATTAAATCTTTTTCTCTCTGTTGCTCAACTATTAAGTATCTCCTGCTTATCCAGCTGAGCAAATTCTCTTCTGCAACTTGACTCCATGCCTTTTTATGAAGGGAACCCTCAGGTCTTAAAGGTGTGTGCAAATTCAGAATCTCTGAGTCAAGTGAGCATCCTTTTAATAATCCTGGTGTGTCCACATGCAAATAGGAAAGCACCACACCAAACCTGGAGCCAGAATACACTTTTGGCCATGGTGCTGAAGCCTTCCACTTCCCTATTTTACTCTACTGTCGGTTGATGGTACCCTTTTTCTTCGCGTGTCCTAATTCCTCTTCGCCAGCGAGTTGTTTCCAGGCCTTCTGTGGTGATGCTTCCAGGCGGATATGCCCAAATCCTATAACCCGACGAGTGCGGCGCCTTTGGGCTGGCTTCCATCCGCGCTGGGGGCTTCTCCCTGGGACCCACAGAGGGGCCGGCGGGGCAGCCTGAGTTCTACTGTCTCGGCAGGAGGCCTCCGGGGCCTTCTTTCCCCACCATTTGCTGAGGCCTCCGCGCCACGGACGGCGGGGCTGCTCTTGTCCTTCTGTCATCCGGCAGCTCCAGGCCTGAAAAAGAAATCGAAGCGTTGCACCCGAGTGCCCCGCCCCCGTCCCCTGGTCTCAACCGCCAGCCGAGGGTTGCAGGCTCGGGGGGGGGGGAGTCAGGCCCGGGGGGGGGGGGGGGCTGCGGCACCACAAGACCCATGGTGCCCGGCCAGTCCCCCGTGCCGCCACCTTTTAAGGCTGGAGACCGGGACTCCCCCTCACTCCCCCCGCCAGGTGGCGGCACGAGGTCTCCCGGCCGGGCGGCGGCCATCTTGAGAGCGGGCTGCCCGCTTCCTAGATGGCCGCTGCCTTCTCGTCGCGCGGCCTGCCTGCCCGGGGATGACGGGCGCCGCCTCGCTGCTGCTGCTGGTGCTCCGGCGCGGGGGCCGCGGCCTCCTCCGGCCCGAGGCTCCTCTACCGGGCGGCGCTCGGGGGGCTCTGGGCCGCCGCTGGACCCGGGCCCCCGCGGAGCGCAGGCCAGGCGACGACCTTCAGGTGAGCGGGCCAGCAGGGCCCGAACCAGGCCGGAGGGGGGGGGCTCCGCGAAGGGTCCGCTCGGGCTCCCCTGACCTCCCCCTCCCCATTCTGCCTTTCAGCTCCGGCTGCCCGGCGCGCTCTCCAGGGGCTGCCGGGCCTGGCCTGCGTGGACCCCCGCCCGGCTGTGGAGGCTGCTGGGTGAGTAGGAAGCCCCCCCCCCCCCCGCTGTCCATTCTCAGGGGGTCTATTTGTGTCTTCGAGGATGGATTGGCGGGGTTTTGCCCGTTTTTCCTCTTCACTGAATGCAACCGCCCCGGGGCTGCAGGCGAGATGGGCGGTCCCAGAAATGCATTCAGCAGTAAAGCAAATAGGAGCCTCCCTGGGAAATGGAGGAAGGGGCAGCGGGGCTTTTGCCCAGAGACGCCAGACCCGCTCAAGGGGGGGGGGTTATACTTCGGCCTGGGCGGCTGTCTGGCTCCCCCTCGATCATTTCCATCCCGTCTTAGCCGTTGTTTGCTCTGATCCCAGGAGGACTTTCTCTTTCCAGCCCTGTCAAAGGGGTGGGGGGTTCCTTGCAGTGCCCACTGATGCTGGACTGCCCTTTGGGGCCTCCCCTGCTGAAGAGCCTGCAAAAGATCCTTCTGAGGATCCCATCTTTGCCCCAGGTTGCACTCCAGAGTGAAAAAGGAATGAGCACAGAGGGGGAAACCTAGGCAAGATTAACTTTCACTTAAATGTTTTTAGATCATTCCTCCCCAAATGATGTACTAGGTGCCATAAAAATGCTATTCTACAATGAAAACAGTAATTTAAAGAAATCAACTACAGCAACATAATTCATAAAATGTCTAAAGGAGGCTGGTCAGAGAGACTTCTGTTTCATAAAATGGTTTAAACTGCCTGAGCACTTCTCTGAGTTTGCATCGGGCATAACAACATGAACTTCCTGGCCCAGTTGGGGCACTGGAGCAAAGGAACTCTTCTCTCCCCACCTCCCTCCCTCAATGCCATGTCTTCTCCAAACAGTCCTTGAAGAGGCAGCTCACGTAGGAAGCTTTGAAGCGGTTCTGGGAAAGAAGGAGCTTACTGGTGTTTCTCCAGAAGCCTGGTTGATGGTGGGCCTTCCTTCCTTCCTTCTGGCTGCCTCACTGTCCCACTGGAATGGCTCCCACCAGGCGATGGTTGAAAGGGCCACCTGACAGAGTTACAGGTCCTGTCTCCACTCTGGGGTGCTGAAAGTTAAGCCAAACCTGGGCCCTTCATTTGAAACTCTGAGAACTCTGCTTGTTTTGGAATAACAACTGAACAATTCTACACTCCTGGCTCTTCTTTGTGCCAAGCAGATGAGAGGTATCTGGCCTTGACTGCAGGCTTCCTTACTGGTGGCACCTGCTGCTATTTTTCTACATCTGGTTCTCATCGCAATGACCGAAGTGGGAAAAAGCCCAAAGGGAAATCCCCAAAGGAAGATGAGGGTAAGTTTGGATTTATATGCAGTTTTACTATGAAGCCCCCAGTAGGTTTTTTTGGTTTGGGGGAAGCATGTTCGTCTTCCCTTTTCAGTCAGCCTAGTTAGCCTCCCATCCAGCTCAGATCTCTCTGCATCTTAAATTACTCTGAAAAGCACCACAGATAGATTTCGTGGCCTAGGTGCAGCCACATATTGGGGAACCTGAATTATGGGCAGTGGGCTTTTCTCTGGGAATAAAAGCCATTTCACCCTTTAATTCTAAGCTGTTTGAAAAAGAGAGAGCTCTGGGGTTTGCTAGATGAAGCCGTGCAGACGTGAGCCCCACGTCTGGTTCTCTTTCCTGGCTGGGTAAAGGGCCTGACCTGCTGAAGAGAGGATCCTGCTGTCCGGGATCTGAAAGGAGGCTGAGATTGGGAACCATCAGATGCCTCTTCCTCCCGCAATTCATGGAGGTTCTGCTCTAAGCCCAGCACAGGAGTGAATGGGTTGAGGTCACAGTAGTACTAAACCCAGTTCTAAGATTAGGCGGTTAAGAAGCCAATGCAGCCTGTTTGTTAGAGTTTTAAACTGCCCTTCTCAGCAGCTTCACCTGTAGTGCTAAGCCGCAGCTTAAAACTAGAGTACTGCGGCTACATCCCCAGGAGAAAATGGTGCAAAGGGTTCCTTTCCTGTGATTCCTGGGAGAGTTTCGGGAGTAGTGGGTATCGTTGCAAAGCTGGTTTCTCTGCAGCCTTCCCCTGGCAATGGGGCAGCTTGCCCTTCGGTACATAGGTGCTGCAGAAGGCCCTTTCTAAGACTAAAACACATTCGCCTTTTCCTTTTCTGGCTTTTGTCTACTTTTGTCTGAGAAACACTGGCTGGCCGATACAAAGCCCCCACCCCGCCTGCCGAAGACCATGGCTGGCATCGCAGCTAGGTAGTTCCCTGAGGTCTTCTGCTCCCCAGCCGTTGGCCTGGCCTGAATAGGCCTCTCCTGCCGCCCAGCTGGCCGGCCCCGCTCTGGCCTCCCTTCATTCAGCCCGGGCAATGGCTGAAACACAATACTGTCCTGCAAACCAGATGCTGGTTTTCTAGCCCAGCTTTGTTTTCTAAGGAAGGCTGAAATGTGGAACAAAAAAGGGGGAGATTGTGGCCTGAGGCATAATCAGCTTGTTGGGCTCTTACGTTTCCTCTCCCCAGAGGAAAAGAGACGCCGGGAGAGGGAAGACCAGATGTATCGCGAGCGGCTGAAGGTCCTCTTCTTCATAGCCATCATCATGAGCCTGCTGAACTCGCTGACCAGCAGCGCGGGAAGCATCTCCTGGAACGACTTTGTCAACGAGCTGCTGGCCAAGGGGGAGGTGCAGAGTGTGCAGGTGGTGCCGGAGAGCGAGATTGTGGAAATCCACCTGCACCCAGGGGCCGTGGTCTTTGGTTGGCCCGTGAGTGTCCTTTGTGGCTCTTCGTTCGCTGGGAAAGGCCGCTGTGGGCCCTGAGCTTTTAAATCAGTAGCCAGAATTCTCCAGTCGCAATGACTCCCTCTGCCCCCATTTTGTGAAGTTTTCATGTTTTTCTGAACAATTTCATTAAGTGAAATTAATGTGAAATAAAGGAGAAATAGAGCTTGTGTGTGTTCCTTGATCCCTTGAAGGGCTTTCTAGATAGAACGTAGCTGAAGCATTTGGCCAAAGTCTTAAGTTAAAACATTTGAGCTTTGGAGTGATCTTGAAATTATTTTCAGTTCAGGTGTTAACCGGTGAGAAAACTCCAAATGCAGAGAATATGGCGTACTAATATTTGAATAGCCAAAGGGTTGATTGTAGCTTTTCTGAATCACTTTAGCTTTGGGTTGTTCGTTTGTTTTTAAGTAGCTTTGACCCAGACTTCAGGTAGGCTGGGGTGTTGACAGGTTGGGAGGTCAGGTGGGTAAAGAAGCCATATTTGCCCTGTGGGGCTGCTTTCTTCCTCTCTAGAATTGCCCCTCCGTGGCTCTGTATTCAGAGGCAGCCCTCCGTTTCCTTCTCTGAGGAGGCTCACCTGGCTGGGACTTCTCCACCTTTTTGTGTCTTCCAGAAGCTGAGCCTGACCTATGTGATGAAGGTGGCAAACATCGACAAGTTCGAGGAGAAATTGCGAGCGGCCGAAGATGAGCTGAACATCGACTTGAGCGACCGAATCCCCGTCTCTTACAGGCGCAGCAGCTTCTTTGGAAAGTACGGAGAGCTTGGGAGGGAGGGCGTGAATTGCCTCTACCTTGGCAGCCGCTCTTGTCCGCCTTTCTCCCTTCCTCACAGTTGCTTGTCTGCACTTTGACCTTGGGGTACACAACGACCAGATGGAGTGCTGAGCAGCAGCAGCCTATCCTGAAGATGTGGCTTCTGCCATGGACTGGCCTGAATGGTCCAGCCCACAGCTGAATCCGACAGCTTCAGAATGGAGGGCCCGACTTCCATAGAGGCTGCAGAGGCCGGGAGGCCTCTGCGCAAAGGAGTTCCTTGGGAAAAGGTCCTGTTTGGTAGCCAGAAGGCCCGCTGCCTGGGAGGGGCTTGGTGGTCCCTTCCTGGCGGCAAACTCTGCCTCTTGGCCGGGTCACCAAGACACAGCTCGGTTGCAGTGGGCTGGCATAGATTCTCCTTTGAACCTTCCCCCAAACTGACGTTGCATGGCTTCTGTTTCTCCCCTCTTGGAGCTGTTAAGTGAGCAGGCAGCCAAAGGATTTGCAGTCACCAAAAACCCCATGTTCTCTCCTGTGTTTGTTTTGTTATTGGAGAAATCCAGTTTTCTACTGTATTTTTGGCTCCCCAAACTCAGACTTGTCTCCAGGTGCCGAGGCTGACCCTTTCGTGCTCCTTGTCTTGGCAGTGCCCTCTACACCTTGGGAATGACTGTGGTCAGTGTTGGCATTCTGTGGTACGTTTTTCGGCTGGCTGGCATCTCAGGAAGGGAAGGCGCCTTCAGTGCCTTCGTAAGTAGCCTTACCATGCGGGGGGGGGGGGGGGCGGGGGGGGCGGCGCCCCCCTGGGGGGGGGGGGGGGGGGGGGGGGGGGGGGGGGTGCCCCCTGGGGGGGCGCGTTGGGGGGGGGGGGGCGGGGAGGTTGGCAAAAAGGGAGCCCCTTTCCCCTCTCAGGTGGGAAGGCTGAGCTCCAGGAACTGCCAGGGTTCAGGTAAATAATGATTTTGTCCATCTCTCCGGCTCAAAGGAGGCCGGAATGCGATGCCTGTTGTTTTCAGGGCTGCTCTGCTGCCCCCCCCCCCCCCCAAATATCATCGAGCCCTTTGAGAGGCAGCACTTTTGGAGTCTGGGGGCTGCACGCTTTCTTTCAGGCATGCTTAAGTTCAGGAAGCCCCCATCAGCCCTTCCCTCTAAAGGGTGGGTGGGCATCTCTGCGCTTGACTGGGGGGCACGTGCTCAGCAGAAGGAGGGTTGCCGTGGTGACAGGGTATCTTCCTCCCCCCCCTTGCCTGCTATCTACTGGGATGGAAAACAGGAAGTGGCACCACCTAGGCTTTGTCCTGGGGAGGGGATGCAGGGTTTGCGCCGCAGACCTCTGGCTATCAGTATCTGAGCTCCCCTCCCCTCCCCTCCCCTCCAAGCACCACAGCCAACAAGGGCTTTTTCTTCCCCTCCTTGGCAGAACCAGCTGAAAAGGGCTCGCTTCACAATCGTAGATGGCAAATCGGGGAAAGGGATCAGTTTCAAGGACGTGGCAGGCCTGCACGAGGCCAAGACAGAAGTCAAGGAATTTGTGGATTACCTGAAGGTAAAAGAGACAACTTGCCTTGGGAAGCAGGAAGGCCGAGGACAGGGAATTGTTGGGGGACACTGCAAACCAGTTTTTGCTTCCTCGAGATGCTTTCAAACAAAAGAGTCTGTAGGAAAGGCTGCAGAATACCTTTAGCCTCCTGCTGGCACCTGTGGGAAAGGGAACAGCGCCTCGTTTCTCCAGCGTTCCCTGCTCCATCCCTTCCTTTTGGTTCCAGAGTCCGGAGCGCTACCTCCAGCTGGGTGCCAAAGTGCCCAGAGGGGCCCTCTTGCTTGGGCCACCGGGCTGCGGCAAGACCTTGCTGGCAAAAGCGGTGGCTACAGAGGCCCAAGTGCCATTCCTGGCAATAGCTGGCTCTGAATTTGTGGAGGTGATTGGCGGTGAGTCCTCTTTCTTGGTCATGGAGCCTCCCGTGGGAGGAGATGCTTTCCAGAGGACTTGAACCGGTTTCCTCGCGAAGGTGCTTGTGGGGGTGGTCGCTGATCTGCTGCTGCTCCTCCCCACTTCCTGATCCCCCACCGTTTCTGGCCTTAGAAAGCTTCTGCTGGAGCCCCAAATTCTTCGGGAGGATTGGGTGGCTCTTGAGGAGCTTCCAGACCCCAGAAGAAGCATCAGAGCTTTGATTAGCCGAGCTTCCTGCGTTGCCCCATTGGTGCTGCTTTGCCCTCTGCCAGCTCCTGGCAGAAGACTCACCTGGCTAGGAAGGGACCCAGCAGCCTGTGGCTTGGTTGAGAGCTGCGAGGGTCCCGAGCAACAGGAGCAGGAGCCCTGGAGAGCCCAGCCTCTGTGCCTTGGACGCAGCCTAAAGGTGCCTCGGTCACGGCTCACTCCCACTTTGCCCATCTGCAGGCCTTGGCGCTGCCCGGGTGCGGAGCCTCTTCAAGGAAGCCCGGGCGTGTGCCCCGTGCATCGTCTACATCGATGAAATAGACGCGGTTGGGAAAAGGCGCTCAACAAACATGTCTGGCTTCTCCAACACAGAAGAGGAGCAAACCCTGAACCAGCTGTTGGTCGAAATGGACGGTCAGTTTTTCATGGCAAAGCGGTTGGTTTTGAAGCCCGGGGTCTTTTCTTCCCACCCCTCCCCAAAAGGATATTCGCCCCTCCTAACAGGGCATTTCCTCTCCAGCATGCCTCTTCCACCCCCCCACACACACCCCGCCCTCCTTTCCCAAGCTGCTGCCTGTTTCCTTAGATCTGGAGGCCTGGGCTTCCCTTCATTGTCAGCTCCGATGTTTTTCTCTGCTGCTTCTCCTTTGATGGGTTTCTGTTTGCTGGCCAGAAGGGAAGGTGAACATCAGTGCTGGCTGCATTGGACGCGGCTGGCCGGGGAGACGTGCAGCCCAAGAGGGGCAGGGTGATTCAAGGAGTTCCTTCTGCTCTGATTCTCCTCCTCCAGGGCTTCGCCAGGACAGTCCCACTGCTCAGGCAGGAGGACAGGCCTGCTCTTTCCAGCTTTCTGGGGAGGCTTTGGGGAAGGGAGGCCCATGGCAATGCTGGGAAGACGGCCGGCCTTCTCTCCAGCTACAAGCGGATCACGGGGGAGGCCTCCGTAGAAGCAGCATTGCATGAATTCAATCAACGCCAGGCCTTCTGCATGTCAGAAGTGGTAGAGCCGCCAGCCCCTGCCTGCTTGGTCTCCTAGATCGATGGAACTCTGTTTCTGGGTGGATAGAGTTGTAAGCAGAAATGAATCTCTGCCTTTGGAACCATTTCTGCTCAGACTGGTTGAGAATGAGCCGAGCTCCGGTATTGGCATTGAAGGCTGAGTCAGCTCCCTTATTCCCTACTCCGAGGATGTTTGGCTGTCTTCGTTCCTGAAACCTCTGTGGGTTCTTCTGCTTTATATCTGCACCTTGCTTTGAAATGCTGTTAGTGCCCTTCGTAAGAGCCTGAGCGTTTAGAGAGCCAAGCTGCTTGGGGTCAAGAAGGCCCCTTTTCCGGACAGGTGTGCGCAATAAGCAGGTAGCCTTCTTACTTTGCTGCCCCCTCAGCAGGTTAAAGCTCAGCACCCACCTTTCCTGACAGAGAAAGTGGCAAAACGTGGCCTGGACCACCAGGCAGTTATAAAGTGGCTCTTCAAGCAACAGAGTTGTATGGTCGTGCTTGGGGGAAAAACTCCCTCGTCCTTCTGCTGTGTGTTCTGTGTTGGCCAGACCCACTTCAGATGCTGCATCCAGTTCCAGGCATTGACAGCCTGGTGCGTATCTGGAGGAGAACAAAAGGACGGGGCACCTAGAAAGAAGAGGCTGTCTTGGCAGCGTTGTGCATGTTCAGCCAGCATGTGCCGATGCCGAACACTTCCACACAGGAGCTAAAAACTGTTGATTGAAGATGGATGCCACTCCTGCCACTGGAAGGGCTCCACTTGCAGAACTCAATCCCACAGGCTCCAATCAGTGGGTTTGTGGCCACTGGAAGGTGGGCAGGTTCTGTGGACTGACAGGCTGACCGAGAAAGAGATCCTTCAGCTGGCAGTGCCAACGCTGCTCTGGTGCCAGATGCGCTTCCAGAAGTGGAAAGAGCAGGCAGGGCTGTTGTGTGTCCGCAGGAAGGAGCTGGACCTTCCATGCAAATGCAGCAGGCTTCTGGCAAGTGGCCTGAAATGGTTATAAACAGTTTTTATGTAATGAAAAGAAGGACTAGGGGCCCACCTCTTCTCCAAAGCCCCTGAAGGCAGGACAAGACGCAACGGATGGAAACAAGGAGAGAAGCAACCTGGAACGAAGGCGGAATTCCCTGGCGGCGAGAACAACTAACCTCCAGAAGTTGTGGATGCTCCATCACTGGAGCCTTTTTGAAGAAGAGCCTGGACAGCCACTTGTCTGAAATTGAAGACCTCCAAAAATCCCTTCCAACTCTGCTCTTCTGAAATTTGGCTGGTGCTGAGTGGTGGGGGAAATTGTGGGCTGAATATGGCAATGTAAAGTCCAGAAAGGGTTAGAGTTGTCTGCAAGGATTGGATGGCGTGTTCCCAATTTATGTTCCCATTTACCACATGTCTGACTTCTGTTTTCAGTTGAAGAGTGCAGGCGAGTGGTTTAAAGAAACATTCCACACTCCATAATTACATAAGTCAGATTTCCTACACACACACACACACACAAAGGTTTATGAGCACCTCCCTCGTCTTGGTCCAGCATCCCCACTGGACTGTCCCTGTATTGCGGCTGCACCTGTGGCGTGGAGAAGGGTATCTCTGGCCTCTTTGCCCCTCCCATGTGTTTCTGAGCTTCCGCCGTTTCTCTTCTGCAGGGATGGGGACCACGGACCACGTCATCGTGCTGGCCTCCACCAACCGAGCGGATATCCTGGATAATGCCCTCATGAGGCCCGGGAGGCTGGATCGCCACATTTTTATCGACCTGCCCACTCTGCAGGTACTATATTGGAAGTAGAGGAAGGAAATGCCCCTCCGGATTCTTGAATCAGAAGCCTCCACGCCTCTGCATGGCCAGTCCCCTGCTTGAACACCCTACTTTCCTTGTGGCGATGATTCATTCGGAGTCACGTGATCCAGGGGTTCATTGAAAGCCAGGGGCCTCGATTTAGCTGGCTGAGGAAGGTGGGGGCACCAAGAGGGTTCCCTGCTCTCCCTAGAACGGGTAGCAAGACCCCCCGACTGCGCTTCCCTCTTTGGGCTAGCAGCAGCAGCTCCTTTTCCTTTCCCGGCCAAGCTGCCCTTTCTGGTTCTTCCCTGTTTTGGCCTAAAATTCCTCAGATGCCTGATCTGATCTGGCACCAGGAGCTGGAGCTGCGCAGCTGCCCTGAAGGAAAAAGGAGCAGGAAATTCTGGCAGCTGAGCCCCCTGCTCTAATCAGGGCTATTGTAACCAGCCCCATGAGTCACACTCTGGCACAGGGCCAGCCTGATTCCCCCCCCCCCCCCCCAGCCCCCAATTTCCTTCCTTTCATTCATGCCTGGAGGGAAGGTCTGGATTCCCTCTCTTGGTGCTAACAGTGCAGTGGGGGAAAGGCAGGAGGAGGAGGAGGAGGAGAGCCACGGCCTCTGGGGAAAAGAGGGGCGGCCCCTCAGCAGGCTCTTCCCTCTGGTCTCCTGGGGAAGGACAGGCTGGACAGGCGGGGTTGGGGGGGAGGCTGGGCCTAGGGAAGCCTCAGCCATCTTTGTCTCGTGCCCGAGACCTCCTGCCCTGGAGCAGCCAAGGCCACCTGCTCAGCCCGAGACCCAGGCAGGCTCTCTGTGCACTTAAGCCTGAGAGCGGCCCTCCCCAGGCCGGTCCAGGGGCCCTCGGGAGAGTGGAGGGTCTGCCTTTCTCTGCCCTCCAGTCCTTGACAGACACACACACCCCCGCCCCCCTACCCCCACCTCCGTCCAGAGGATCTGTGGCAACACGTCCGCTCTGCTCTTTGCAGGAGAGAAGGGAGATCTTCGAGCAACACCTGAAGGGGCTGAAGCTCTCCCAGCCCGGCAGCTTCTACTCCCAGCGGTTGGCTGAACTCACCCCAGGCTTCAGCGGTACGTATGGGGAGGGGGACAAAAGATCCAGCTTCTCCAAGCCCCCCGCCCAGAGCTTGGGGGGGATCCTTCCCCTTGGAAGAGAGAGCAAGGAGTCCCCTCTGCATTCCCTGCCAGCCCAGCCCTGCCCCCATCCTGTGGCGGCTGCCGCTTTGTGGCTGTCCATTCCGCCGCCTACACGCCCCAACTCGGAGCCGATGTGCCTCCTCTTTCCCAGCAGCCTCTGCAGCCACATCAGGGCCATCCCAGGGCCACGCCAGGCTGGTTCTCCTGGCTCCCCCCCTCCTGAGAGCACCCCGGGGTTGGGTCCGATGACCTCCTTGCAGCCCCTCTGTGTGGGCAGCCAGATCGGGCCTGCGGTTGGGACCCTGCTTAGGCAGCACGACCAGCAGGCCTGGCTCCTGCCTGCTCCCTCCTTGAGAGGCCTGCTTTCAACCCACTTCCAGGCGGCTTGCTTTTCTTTTCCTTTCGCTGAACTTTTTATTTTCTCAGTTTTTAAACATTTAAATAAAATGCCTCGGTTGGTTTAGAGAAAAATCCCTGGATGCTAGCAATGAATGAGGTTTAAATAGAGGAAGAAGAGAAAACGAAGGACTGTTGGAGGAGACCAGAAATACCCTCCAAGGCAGAGGAGGATTGCAGGGGTGTTAGCTGTAAAGACCCTGTGAGATCCCCCCGGCTGCAGAGGTCGTTCCCCAGGACGGGGAGACCCAGATCCAAATTCTGCCGGTCTTTGAACTGGTTGCCATGCTCAGCCTTGAGGGAAGCATGCGCAAAGCCTCACGTCCCTGGAGGGAAAGTCATGGGAAGAAGAGATGAAAGCCAGACACATTCCCAGAAAAACCTTCTGGTAAATGAGGGTTTCTAAAAATTACTGCCATCCTCTCATCCTAAGATTTGAGTAAGTTATTAGTAAGGATGCTGGGAAGCGGCCGCCTGTCTGTCCATCAGCAAGACAACCTCCAAAAACTGAACAGGGCTGAATTTCCTGGGGGCGGGGCCAGGGAGGGAGGGAGGCTGGCAGAAGAAGGTTTAGGAGGGGGTGGGATCTGGCTGGGGCTGCAGAGGAAAAGAGGGCAGAAACAGCTGTCCCTGGTGCATCTTGGGAGGGGCGGGGGGGGGGGGAAGCGGTTCACACTCCTAAGCCTCATCCCAGCCACGTGATAAATCTCCCCCAGCCAGCCCTGGGCTTCTCAGTTCACACATCCACACCGCACACCCACATCCAAATGCATTACTTCTTTACACCAATAAAATACTGGTGCCATCTATGGCCATTGACAGTAAAGAGGTTAGAAAGAAATCCCATTTTCTTCAGTGTTTCTCTACCTTAAATTCTGCCAGATGTTAAATAACTTTTGTTACCTTGCACAACTTGAAAACGAACCTGTTCTGTCAGCCACATTTCCCTCGCCTTGTCCAGCTACCTTGGTGTAATGTAACTGAGAGGCTCCGCTGCCTTTCCTTGAAGAAAAAATGCTGCTCTTTAGAAAGCTGAGTGACCAGAGCCCAGGTGTCTTTAGGGGACCCGGAGGTTTGCCTTGCTGTGAAACAGAGCCCAAGATGAAGGTTTTCGGACGCTAGACAGGCAAGAAGAGAGTGGAACGAGGAGTAGATTCACATTCAGGATCGGACCCTGCAGGAGGAGGCTACACAGCCATTATTTCTGCAGGCAGGGAAATGCAGCCAAAGGAACAACGGACCTTGAGACTTAGCAGCTTGGATGACCAGGCAAAGAGGGCTAACACCCCCCCACCCACCCCAGTCAAGGGGTGGACTGGCTGCCTGGAACTGCCTTCCAAGCTGGGTTGGCAAGTGAAGAGCCGAGGTGGAGATTTGCTTTCTTTCCCTCGCTGGCATCACTGCTGGCCCTTGGCATCTGGGCAACGGGGGGTGGCCCCACTGAGGACCCTGCCTTGGCTTCTTAAGAGCCCCCTGTTCTCTCCCCACCCTGCCATGCTCCAGAAGCCGAACAAGAGTCGCTGGGTTTTCTCCACAGGAGCTGATATTGCCAACATTTGTAACGAGGCGGCTCTCCACGCTGCCAGAGAGGGGTACAAATCCATCGACACAATCAGCTTTGAGTGTGCTGTGGAGAGAGTAATTGCAGGTAATTGCGTCCTCTTTTCTTTCCTGGGGGGTGGGGGGGGGGGGGAGCGATCGTGTTCTTCAGCCTAGATTTGGGAGGAGAGCTCTGCTGGGAGAGCCATCCAAGTGGCCGACCCGACCGAGCGAGGCAGGTTGGGTCTCAGCTCTGGCTCACTTGGGATCTGGTGTGGACCACCAGGCTCCCCTGAGTGATGACTAACCCTGACCACGTTGTGCTTGATGGACAACAGGCCTTTGGCTTTGAGCTCTCTGAACACGAGTGGACGGATGTCAGCTCCCAGGCCATGGTTGTGGGGGGGGGGGTTGGGGGGCATTTTTGTTGCATTAAGGATCTTCCGATGGAAGCAGACCCTAGTTTAGCCCCTTCTGAGTTGGGGGGTCTCCATAGAGGCTGGCCTAGACGAACCACACTGGCTGGAATTTGTAGGGGACGCGTGGTGGAGCAAGGCTGCTGGAGGTCTTCTGGTGGGAAACCACCTAAGCAGCCAGCCCTTTGAGGACAGAAATGGGGTTTTTCTAACCGGAGACATAGTTTCTTTGCTTGGATGTTTCTTGGCTGCAAGGTCATCTTCCGGTGAGGCAAAGTTTAATAGCAGTTAAAACTAGAGAAGGGGTCTGTAAGCCTCAGGTGTGAGATTGTGGACTTGCGTGGTTGCCTAACAACCCATTTGTAAGCCTTTCTTCAAGCAAGTGTTGTTCTCCGCTTCCTTGGCCTCCTCATGACTCAAGAGACACGGGAGGCTTCTGGATGCTGGAAACAAACCTGGGAAACTGAGAGCTTTCTCTCCCCCCCCCCCCCCCCCCCCCCCCCCCCCCCCTTCACAGGAGCTGTCAAGAGGAACAAGATCCTTTCGCAGGAGGAGCGGAGGGTGGTGGCATTCCACGAATCGGGCCACGCCCTGGTGGGCTGGCTGTTGGAGCACACCGAAGCCGTGCTGAAGGTCAGCTGGCTCTCCGCCGTGAAGCTAGGCACACGGAGGGAGACCAGTCGGCTCACCATCCCTCCTCCCCCCGTCTCCTCTGCCCTAGGTGTCCATAGCTCCCCGCACAAACGCTGCGCTGGGCTTTGCCCAGATCCTGCCCAAGGACCAGTACCTGCTGACCAAGGACCAGCTCTTCGAGCGGATGTGCATGGCGCTGGGGGGCAGAGTGGCAGAAGCCATCACCTTTAACAAAGTGACCACAGGTGAGGAGGGCCGGCCTTGTGCAGAAAAGGGCCAGGACACGACTCAGTTGCCTTGGCCTCCCTTTGGGTGGGATGGGAAAAGCCCCTCGGTCGCCTTTGAAGACTTTCCCAGCGTCAGTTGCCTCCGTTTTTACCCTGCTTTGCTCCAGGGGCCCAAGATGACCTCCGGAAGGTCACCAGGATAGCCTACTCCATGGTGAAACAGTACGGAATGATGCCCTCCATCGGCCACCTGTCCTTCCCAGAGACGGAAAGCGGTCCAGGGATTGGACGGCGCCCCTTCAGCCAAGGGCTCCAGCAAGTAATGGACCATGTAAGGCTCTCCCGGGGTGGGGGGGGGTCGAGTTGCAGGGGAGGCGGGACTGGCTTCTTTCCAGTTGCAGGGCTCCTGAGGGGGGACCCCTCCCCACTGCAGCTTCCCAGGCAGGAAGATGATCCAACTGGCCCAATCCTGCCTCTTGGGCACTGGACCCTCAGCCGCCGCTTCTCCCTGCTGGGAGCGTTCACTGAAAGGTTGGGATCAGTGGCCTTAGTCAGTGGTGTCTCCCCTTCCTTCCACGGTTCTCTTTTCCCCAGGAAGCAAAGCTGCTGATAGCCCAAGCGTACAGGCGCACAGAGAAACTGCTGATGGACAACCGGGACAAACTGAAGATGGTAAAGGCCCTTATACGGTCCTGGGGGGCCCAAGGAGGCTGGGGAGGGCAAAAGGCCGGCAGAGGATCGGCAGTCAGTCCCTAGCACGTTGCTCCCTTCTGGCTTCTCCTGTGAGGCTCAAGTGAATCGCAGAGCAAGTATGGTACTAAAGAGAAAAGTATAATAACACCCCTGCTTGAAAGCTGGCAAAGAGGCCAGGCCTCTGCTAGGATGACCTCACTGCAGCACTCCGAAGTCTGCCCCTTTTGTGCAGGGGGAGCCAAGAAGCCAAGTGGTGTGGAAAGCCTCTCCGGGCCTCGGCAGGCCAAAGAAACCGAGAGAGGCTTCCTGCACTCTGAAGTGGACCAGGTCCTCCCTTGAGGAGCAGGAAGCTTTGGTCTCCTGTGTACACCTGGTTGTACAGAGCTCCGCATGCCCATGGTGTACCTTCTCACCCGCTCGTCTTTTCTGGGCTAGCAGGCTCTATGGTAGGGCAAAGAGGGTGAATTCTGCCCCATGTTGTCTCTGACCTGGGCAGTGCCAGAAACTTAAGAGATTGCCAAGGATGTGCAAAACATTTCATGTCGGTGTGGTATCCCTCCGGAGCATTTTGTTTTTCTTCCAGAACAGGCAGGTCTGTGGTTTCATTCTGGAATATCTGGATGTAGATGATGCAGAAGTAAAAGCAGCTTGTGATATTCCAGATACACGGCATTCTCAAAAGAAAATGTGGCAGGTTTGCCACTTTTCAGTTTTCCCACCGGCAGAGCAATTCCTGGTCCGGGCAGCTCTTTCTGGCTCCTTAGCTGGAATGCATAGGTCAGGGGAGAAGAGTTTTCCACAGCCGGATTTCCTGGATGCAAAACATTTTGTAGTTGACCACAAAACTATCCCAGTCTTTGGAAGTGGAGGGGCCAACCCCTTTACCCAGAGCTCTGCGTTTCCAGAGGGCTTGCTGGGCCCAGGTCTGTCCCGTTATCAAGGCCCCTTGCTTGGTGCATGGCAGGGCATCAGGTCCCTGTGCCGTTTTTGACTCCTGTGGCAAATGCGGAAGCTTCTGCTAAGGCGCATTTATTTAAGCCTGCCAATTCTTCCTCTCCAGCTGGCAGACGCCCTGTTGGAGAAAGAAGTGATCAACTACGAGGACATCGAAGCCCTTCTTGGCCCTCCCCCCCACGGGCCCAAGAAAACGATCTCTCCCCAGAGCTGGATAGAAGCCGAGAGAGACAAGCAGGACAGAGGAGAGGAAGAGCCGCCTCCCCAGTTGCCCCCCTACAAGGAGGAGCAGGAGCCTCACCTGAGCTATGTTTGAAACGCCATCACGAAGCGAGTAGCCGGTTGGATTCAGGTTTTTCTTCCAAACTTAGAAGTGCTAAGGATCCTTATTTTTGCACCCTGAATCCAGCCCAGTTTGGATGGGGGGCAGTGGGCAGGCCAAGCGGTGAACAGTGCCAGAAGCACCATCTTTGAGACCCCTTTGGCTTTGGTCTGAGAGAACCAACCCAGCTCTCTGCCTGGGGCTTCCTGCTTAGCTATCCTCACTAGAACCGTTTGGTTGCTGGTACCCAGCAGCCTGAGTCGATCCCATTTCTTAGATCCTATAGGGCTTTCTTCCTGCTGCTGTGTTTGTGGTGCATGTAGAAACTGGAGGGACATGAGCTTTATCAACAGTTCGGGGCACTGCTGACAGAGAGGAGGAGGAGGAGGAGGAGGAGGACAGGCCCAGTTTTGCCTTTAGGAGGTGGTAGTTCCCAGAGGGAGTGTTTGTTCACATCTGTCCAAAGCAGTGGGTGCCCCTTGGAGCGTCACCTCACTTCCTCCTCTCCTTGTAGAATCCTGGATGACCGTCCCAGGCACTTGGGTGGGGGAGGGACTCTGACTTGTAACACTGGCACTGAGCTATCTCTGTGCAGAGAGGCGTGTTAGAGAGTTTCGAAGTGGGCCCTTGCATTGCAGAGTTGAGAAAAGGCAACTATTCTAGTCCTGCTACCTCAGCGCCCCCTTGTGCCAGACTCTGGTCTCCTGTGATCAGCATCTGCCACCCGGTGGTCAGCTGAGGAACCGCACCCCAATTTGTTCTGGTGGAGAACTCCAGTTAAGCCACCCAGTTCCTGCCTGGTGATGTTGGGCATTTCCGAGGGGAAGCTGACTATATGCAACACAACTGAATGGTTCTTGGTGAGGGAGCAAAGGTGGCTGAGAATCGGGGCTCAGCAGCATCTAAAGTAAAGCCACAAGCTCCCTATGCTTGTCTGCAGCCTGGCAACATCTTTGTGGAAACCCATTTCTCAAATTTAGGAACTGCAGCATAAATGAAGTGGAATTTTAGGCTATACACATATATTTGCCTTTGTTTACACTGGATGATCTTGTATGTTGTTTCCAACAGGCTGCTGTATTTCAATAAAGATTTAGAAGTGCTGCAGATCCAAGTATTGTTGAACTTTAAAAGGGGGAGGGTGTTAACTAGGAAAACCACATTTCCTATCCTCTGTTCTGAACAATGTTATCCTTGGATTTCGGGGTGACAGATATGATGATGGTTCTTTATTTGATTTTTCTTGAATCTTCCTCCTGTCTACATCAAAAATGGGTTTATTACATTTGTGAGTTCATGATTTAGTGCTATATGATCATACTCTTTTTAAACAATTGTATGTTATCCAATATTTACACACAATTTAAAAGAGACAATCAAAAAGCTAAGAAGGAAACAAAAAGACCAAAACTCATCCCCTCCAGCAGCCTCCACTCTGGTAAGCAGGGATTAACTTCAAACAAACATTCAAGCAGAAAACAATACCCTAATGAAGACATTGACGGGAAGAAAATCACACCCCACCCACGCAGTGTGAGCTACTGTATATAAACAGTGCCAATCTTACACCCACTGGCACTGATGATGTTACCTATAGTTGTTGGGTGTCTGCAAGCAAACCAAGCTCAGAGAACACTGTCCAAATATTTAAAATACTTTATTACAAATTCAAAAAGTAATTGTTTATTATATTGTTGTTATTTATTGCCTATTTCCATTGCTTATTCAGCATGACCCATTGTTTCTGCCAAAGTGGTGCAGCTGCCTTTAACACTTATCTGTTGCAGCCACAAGCAGGCAGCCCCATCCTATGGAGACGGAGAGAGTCCAGTCCCTGAAATTGAGAAAGGAACAATACCTTTGCAAAGTGGGGTTTTCGCACATGCACCCCCCCACCCCCCACCCCACACACACAATGTGAACCACATGTAGTACAAGTAAAGCAAAAGGCATTTTACTAAACGCACTCCAATCTTTTTACAGAACAAATGATACCATACTGTACCATTCAATAAAGATGATGTGTCAGAAAGCAACAAATCCTGTAATTTTTGCACATCAAAGGGAATAGTTTTGGCTCAAGGGAAAAACATGTTTTCCTAAATTTCTAAAGGGGGTTAACATGCTAATATCACCTTTATTAAACTGCTAATAATACCTAAAATTCTAGAGAACAATGTTAGCTGAAATACGGTGCTCATTTTGCATTTTCCTCTAATGCTCGCCAAAGCAATTCTTAGGTTTGGTGGGATAGAAAATGCCTTTTTGCAAATGATCTTGCAGGGTTCTCTAAAACGTTCTTGATGCAGGTGGCTTGCTTTTACACACGAAGGCTTGATAAAGCTCCAACAGCCAGAGGCCTGGGTGGCATGGCTTCTGAGTAGCAGTTTCTTAGGACCAGAACTGACGCTGTGGTTGTTGAGAGTTGTCATTTGTTGCTACAGGTAAATTTGAAAGCCTTGGAAGGATGTAGAAATGGACAGAAATTCATGAGCCCGGTATCAAAAGATTTAATTCCTAACAGATATTTGATGTCTGGCAGCCAACATCCTATGGGTGGGGTTTTTGCTTACGCTAGCCGCCTTTTCCTTCTTGAACATCTCTCTGTGCTCCTGTCTAAGAAGATACAAATTATTTTCTTGAATTAGAGCAACATTCCGACAGAGGCAAGATTTAGTCTCCGGTAGCCTTCAACACATTTATTAAGCCGAGGGGGGAATATAATCCACTAGATCTGGAAGGCATCAGATTAGGAAAAAGGATCTGCTTTTCTCTGGCTCCATGCAAGACAGTGCAATGGAAACCAGAGGTGAGGATGACGGCTCCTTTAAATTATGCACCATCTTTGTGACTGGCAAGACGACAGGAAACAGGAACTGGCAAGTCCGCTGCGTAGATTGGCCGGGAAGAATGTCGCACTTCCGGGGCGCCTTGGATGCGGCGACGGCAACATATCCCGGCGTTCTTCGCGCCGCCTCTTTCTTTTTCCGGCCGGCCATTTTCTCTCCCGGGAGGTGAGTTCTCATGCTGGGCCGGCGGCGGGTCTGCATCTGCCGCCATCCGCACCCCCGCGCTGCAGGGGTGACCCCCGAGACGCGCGGCGGCCTTGGGGAGGCCTCGCGGCTGAGCTCCGGCGGCTCAGAGGGCGAGAAGGGAGCCGTTGCTTGGAGCGAAGGGTTTCTCGACCCGGCGGGGCCTCCGACCCCGAGAGGCCCCGGCCGTTGAAGCAGGGCGGGCTGGCACCAACGCCGGAGCCAAGGGCGGGTGGGCGAGCCGCCTCCGGTACTTGGGGCGCCGGCCCGGGGCCTCCGAAGGGCCTGCGGGGAGAGTCTGTCATGCGGCGCCTCTCCGGGGGCAGCAGAGCTCGAGGCGGGGCGGGAGCTCCCGGGAGAGCCGGGCCTTCGCAGCGCCCCCTTTGCGCCCGCCCGCCCCGTTAAACCCGGGCCCGGGGGCTTCAGCGAGGCTCCCGCGGGCGCCGGCAGCCGTGAGGGGCGGCCGTGGGCTTCAACGGCCGCGGTGCTGGAGGGACCTTCATTGCCGCCGCTGCCGTGGGGACCAGTGGGCGCTGCCGGCGTTCCCGGGCCCTGGAACTCGCTCGGCTCCAGGCAAAGGGTGTGACCGGAGCCGCTTTTCTTGGCCGTCCGTGGAGGGGCCGCGTTGATGGCCGGGGAGCCGGGACGGGACGGGCCTTTGCAAATGGAGCGGCTGCCGAAAGGGCGTCCAGGCGGCGGCTTTGGCGATGAGGGTAAGGCGGCTGGTTCTGTGTTTCCAGGGGTCTGAGCAGGCATGGCGCCCAGCCGGAATGGCATGATCTTGAAGCCCCACTTCCATAAGGACTGGCAAAGACGCGTGGCCACCTGGTTCAACCAGCCTGCCCGGAAGGTCCGCAGGTGAGGAGCCCCCTGAGCCGATGCGCTTCCCAGCCGGAGGACTCTGGGTGACACGGAGGGGCCTTGTTGCTACGGCCAAATGATGAGAATTCTCCGGAATCGCTGCACTTCATTGATGAGCCTTTGAACCCATAAAACTGATGGTTGTAGCTGCCCCTCCCCCCAGCGGAGGAGGGCCTTGTTGCAGCCCCCTTGCCTGGCTGGGCTTCAGTGCGCCTTCGGGGGTGAAAGGCGGGTCTTGATGTGGGCCTTCCTGTTGCTTCTCCCCCTCAGGAGAAAAGCCCGCCAGGCCAAAGCCCGTCGTATTGCTCCTCGTCCAGTGACGGGGCCAGTCAGGCCAGTCGTGAGGTGCCCCACCGTGCGATACCATACAAAAGTCCGTCTGGGCAGAGGGTTCAGCCTGGAAGAGCTGCGGGTGAGTGAGGGGGGGGCGTGGGAAAGAAATGCCTGGGGGGGGGGAGTGAATGGGTTGTCTTGCCCGAGACCCTTTGAGGGTCCATGCTGAGGGGTCTGTCCACGTTAGGAACTCCCTTGAGCAATTTTCCAGTCTGTTTTCAGAGAGTCTGATAAACTAAGTGAGATCGCACTGGTGATTCTCTTACCTTGCCCTCAATACGCCATTTGTGGCCAGACCTTTGCAGTCAAACGGTAACACCCCACAGTACCTGTCAGCTTGAGGAGGAGGATGGTGCCTTGAACCCTTTTCCAGTTGATGATTGTCCTGCCTGCCCAGAAGGGGCAGCAATTCAGACTTACCTTGATTTGAATCCCGTGTCCACACAACTCTCTCTAGATGGCTGGTATCCACAAGAAATTTGCCCGAACGATTGGTATTGCCGTGGACCCCAGGCGCCGGAACAAGTCTACCGAAGCCTTGCAAGCCAACGTCCAAAGGCTGAAGGAATATCGCTCCAAACTCATCCTCTTTCCCCGGAAGTCTTCGGCGCCCAAGAAGGGAGACAGCACGGTGAGAACAGAGTTTGTGGGTAAAGGATCTTTTTGCCCGCAGCTTTGCTGGAGCCAAGGGCCCGTGAGAAATTCTCTTTTCTTGTTTCTATAGGCAGAGGAACTCAAGATGGCCACACAACTGTCTGGACCAGTTATGCCCATCAAAACCGTAAGCGACCCTCTGGATTTACTGGCTCTTTCCTCAAACATTTGTTGTTAACCAGGAGTGTTTCCTGCTTTTAATCGAAGTTTTAAAGTTTTGCCTTTGGTGTTTTTGCGGGGGAAGTAGGCTTGTGTGCTTTAGACATACTTTTCTCCCCCAAGCATTGGAATGGGGTGAGGTGCACGAGAGGGTTTTTAACGCAGACGTTGCATGCTTCACTTAGGTGCCAGGTTTTCAGTATTTATGGTCTTAATTGATACGTGTATTAAGTTGTTTTAATGGTTGATTGGGAGCTGCCCAAAGTGGGATGTAAGATGGATAGTTGTTTAAATGTTGTAAATACATTTCATTGTCGCACATCCTGATTCCTTAATTGGGAAGCAGCTACCAGAACCGTGCAGTTCTGTAGTTAAGTATTCGTCAGCTGGACAGCTTCTTTCCAGTCTCTTCACCACATTTAAAAGCTTGTGGGTTGAGAAGAAAAATATTTTCTGGAGAGCTTTGATGCTGAATGTGGCTGAACCTGGACTAGCCTGCCACAGATAACTTCTTACAGGCAGTGTGAGCAATTGTGCTAATAGCACAAGGCCCAGCGTGCCGGTTGAGCTGTGAGTGACTGTTGCAACTCTTCACTTTCGTAGGTCTACAAAAAGGAGAAGGCCCGGGTTATCTCGGAAGAAGAGAAGAACTTCAAGGCCTTTGCCACTCTGCGCATGGCCAGAGCAAACGCTCGGCTCTTCGGCATCCGGGCTAAGCGAGCCAAGGAAGCAGCCGAGCAGGACGTGGAAAAGAAGAAATAAACTGCTTGGACAGATCGGTTCAATAAAAAAAAAGAGAGAGAAATTTGCCATGATGGGTCCTCCTGTGTTTGGATGCAGCCATGGAAAGGGAGGCAGAAGGGTTGCCCCAGAAAGCGGGCGCTTTCACCGTCTTCAGTGTAGCGCCTGGCAGGGATGGACTCTGTGTGTGCTCTGTGCTTGCTGGCACTTTGGAGTTGGAAGATTGCAGGGGGTTGGGGGTCCTTATTATCGGGGGAGGGAGAGCAAAGTGCCACCTTCGGCATACTTGTTGAAAGCGCTCCTGGAGGATGAACGGTCACCTGTGGCTTCACTGCCCTCAAGGAGCCAGAGGGGAAAAGTCATAGTCACATGATTGGGGGGGGGGGCTGTCTTAATGCTTTTCTGTACGTGTAGCCCTTCACCAGACTTTCCAAGCGGGATCAAGAGCTTCTGGGTGTGGTGGGTCCTGACCTGTGACCCCGGCACCCCTTGCGCGCTATAGTGGCAGGGTGGCATGGCGACCGTGGTCACTCAGTACAAGCTGGGCTTAGTTGACAGTCCTGAAACTGTCCCGCTGGGGCTTCTTGGGCAGATCGTTGTGTGCCCAAGTCGACGGGCCCTTTGGGAAGCGGAGGTGGCAGATCGCTTAGAAAGTTCACTCTCTGAAATGCTGCCAGCGTCTTTCAGCAACGCAGGGCCCTCCCTCCGTGTGGGCGGCTGCTTGGGCATCTGCTCTAGGTAGAGCCTGAGAAGGTATAAGCCAAGAAG